GGGCGGGGCACGGGGTGTGGACCCACGATATCAAGGGAAAAGAAAAGATAAACCTGTCTTGCTCTCAGTATAAGATTTCAGAGCTAGGTGTCCAGGACTGATGTCAGTACACATTTCTGTGGCGTTGTGGAGTATATAGGATCCTTCTATCTCTACCGCTCACGTGACCCTCATTTTCCTGGACCAGGCTGGGCAACTAATGCTCTGGCTGTCCTATCTACATTTTGTTGGAAGGACAAAGAAGGGAGCAAAACTCAGGTGCCAATTGTCAGTTTGGGGGGGCGGGGGTGGCAGGGAGCTGCCATAAACCTTTTTTGCTCATGTTTTATGGGATTGAACTTCCTCATGTGGCTATATCTAGCTGCAAGGGTGGCTGGGAAACTTTGTGTTTCTATTTTGCATTGCCATCTGAGCAGCTAAAATTTGGGCATTCTTGGAGGAAAGAGAACAGATGTTTGGGAAATGAATAATAGTTTCTAGAACATCATCTTAAATCATTGTTTGCAAATGTGAAAATTCATGCTCCCCTTCCTTTGGGCGTTTTCCCCCTCTTTTTAAAATACTGTGAAAATATATGACACAAAGCAATGATCTAAATGTATAATTCCATGGATTGATTATGTTCTTCAAGTTGTACAGTTATTCCTGCTATTATTTTTGAAATTACCATACCAACAGGAGCATGCCTCCCTCTCTCCTCTTCCCATTCCACATTTAAGCTGAGTCCTTTTCCTCTAGTGACTCTATGGGGCAGAGTAGAACTGCCCCTTTGCGGTTCTGAGACTAAATCTTTGCGGAAGTAGACTGCCTCATTCTATAGTGTTATTTCTGTAGTGGCTATAGCTATACCCTTGGCCTTTTCTACCAGCAATGGGTGAGGGTTCCTATTTCTTGACAACTTTTTCAACACCAAATGCCCTCCAGCACCCCCTTTAAATTGCCGTTCTATTGAGGGTGAGATGGTGTCTCAGCGTTGTTTTATTTTATACCTCCCAAGTAGTTAATGAAAACACCCTGGTGGCCTAGTGGCTACACATTGGCCTTCGAGATGCAAGGTCAGCAATTCAAAACCACCAGCTGTTATGCTTCGGGAAAAAGAGACTTTACTCCCATTAAAAAGTTAGTCAAAAATGGCTGGATATTTCATTTCCATATTTGGGGCTGAGGAGGACAAATCTGGAACTGTAGGCACAGGGACCAGTGTTCCCAGCTTCACAATAAACCGACATTCAGCCAGACCACAGTGCTGCTCAACCTGTACCGGAATGCACAGCACCCGGCCCCGACCGCAGATGGATCACTGCACTGTCACGGCCTTGATGTGGAAGAGCAGGCACACTAGGCTAACTTCTTTGAGGAAGTTTTCGCAGAACTGCAGAAGAAGGATGGGGAGATCAAAGAGACAGAAGAATGTGTGCGACCCCCTGGGAGACGATCCTGTGGGGAACGTAGATGTCAATTTCCAGCAGAGGAGGATGCTGAGCGGGCGTGACTGAGTCAATAACCGCTGGTTCAACGGGCATGCTGTTGATGCTGAGTTGTCGCCTATCACCGACTTCCGGGGGTCACGCTGTCCACAGTACGAGATGGGGGAATGCCCCCGTGGTGGCTTCTGCCACTCTATGCACCTGCGGCCTATCTCCTGGAACCTCTGGGGACAGTTCTATGGTGGGGGAACTCGGCGCAGGTCGCCTCCAAGGTCCTACACTGGCCACAGCCCCCAAGAAACTGCTGACGTTCCCCACCTAGATCACCGTCATGGCCGCTTTTGAAACCCTGGCCACCTTGCCCTCCACCCTTTCTTTATAGGTAGAGCTTCCGGTCTGACTGAGCCCTGATGCCTCAAACTTCCTTCCCTCCCCAACTCCACTTCCCCAGGCTCCAGCACACCATGATGGATGCTAGGACCTACTAAAGTATGCATTTGATTAAAAAAAAAGTTACAGTTTCAGAAAGTCCTACCCAGGGCTGCTCTACCCTGCCCTGTAGGGTCAACATGAGTCAGAATCGACTGGATGGCAGTGAGGTGGTTTTGTTTTTCATGTGCTTGGTGGCCATGTGCACATCTTTTTATTATTATTATTTTAAGTCATTTTATTGGGGGCTCATACAACTCATCACAATCCATCCATCTATCCATTGTGTCAAGCACATTTGTTCATTTGTTGCCATCATCATTCTCAAAACATTTGCTTTCTGCTTCATCCTTTGGTATCAGCTCTTCATTTTTCCCCCTCCCTCCCCCTCCCCCCTCCCTCATGAACCTTTGATAATTTATAAATTATTATTTTATTTTTAAACATCTTATTGAGGGCTCTTACAGTTCTTGTATTAATCCACACATCAATTGTATCAAGAACATTTGTACATACATTGACATCACTATTTTCTAGACATTTTTTATCATTTTATTGGGGCTCGTCCAACTCATCACAATCCATCCATCCATCCATCCATCCATCCATCCATCCATCCATCCATCCATCCATGTGTCAACCACATTTGTGCATTTGTTCCTCTGCCAATCTTTTGTGTGTGTGTGTGTGTTTGCAAAATGTCTACTCAAATTCTTTGCCCATTTTTAAGACCTGGATGAGTGTTTTTTTGTTTTGTTTTGTTTTACTCAGATTGATTTTTTTCTTAAAAACTTTGTTGTGAATTAGGCGAAGGTTTCCAGGACAAATCACAGTTTTACCTTCAACAATTCACACGCTTTCTAATCCAACCCACCCTCAATGTACCTGCACTTACTCCACTTCCTGTTGCTCCCATTCCTCCTCTCCTAACCCTCAGGGCATTGTCTTTGGAGAAATGGTGCTCCTTACATCCTTTTGTAAAAACCATTTTATTGATGGAATTTGTGCACCAGGGGCGTTTGTCTTTTTGTTGTTGAGCTGTAAAATAATTCTATTAATTTCAGATATCAGGCCCTGATGAGCTAGATGGCACTGTAAACTTGGTCCCACGCACGATGCTATCTTTTCACTTTTTTGATAAAATCTTTCGACGTACCAAACTATTTTTATGAGGTTTCTCTATTTTTTTATGAGATTTATTTATCTGTTTTGTCTTGGTGCTGTTACTGCCCTATTGGCCTCCCTGCCCCATGATGCCATCTGGCAGTGTTTGACTTCTGGTGTCCTAAGCACCGGGCTGCACCTGCTATAGCACCAGATGCTGGGACTTGCACTTGTTGTAATCACCTTCCCTCTTACTACTGGAGGTGATTCCTTCGATAGCATATCCTTTCACCCCTGATGTGCAGCTACACTTCTCTAAGTACCTGCCCACCCTCCAGGATTACCAGCATGGTTACCATCATGGCAACCAACAATGCTCTTTTAGTTGATGACCGATAATCGGAGCACTTGTGAATCTTGTACCACAGTTCTGACAACCAGATTAGACATGTAAATTATTTCTTGTGATGCTAATTAAAAATGCTTTTGTGTTCTTGAACATTTATTCACATGTTCATGTGTAATAGCTCTGTACTTGGTGTTCTTTCAAACTAAGAAAGCCACACTTGTTCTGTGCTGTTGAATCAATTCTGACTCAAAGTAAAACTGTCTCATAGGATTTCCAAGGCTGTAATATTTCCTGGAACACATCACTGTTTTTTTCTCCAGAAGAGTCTCTGAGGGTTTGAATTGTCCTCCTTTTGGTTAACAGGTGAGCACTTACCCATTGTATCATCAATCTTCTATACCATGCTATACCAACCAAATTACCACC